ATAAGAATCAACCAGGTAGTTGAAACAAGGCAAAAAGATACAAAGAATGCCGAAGCCAATCAGGACGCCGGCAGCGGTAGGCGAAATCCAGTGGATGGCGGGTGTGAACGCCGTCCAGCTAAACCTGTTTCTCAGAGTTAGCTTTTATCTGGTGGATGCGGGAATTGACCACTCACCAGAACACCCCCACGGTGAAGACTGGGCCGCCAATTATCGGAGGCAGGAGACGCCATTCGGGAACTGGCACGTCTTTATTGGCAACGAGCTTCCTTACGTACGAAGGCTGCTGGAGCAGAACGAAGGTACAGCCAAGTAACTGGCCGATAACGAGCCCGAAGAAAGTGAGACCGCTGAGGCCTGCGTTCATGCCGTGGACCGATTCGAATACATACGGATATGCGACCAAGAGGGCATACACGAGGCCGTAGATGAAGGACATATACATGGACACTACCAGGATAATCGGCTCGGTAAAGAGCATTCGCACGGGACGGGTCAGATACTTCTCCATCAGCTGCCGGAAATCAACTTTCACCACCTCTTGTTTGGCATGAATTCCCCAATTTGAGGTCTTCCGGCGGAGGGCCTCGGCCTTCGGGACCAATATGCATTGTGCGTACGTCTCCTTCAGGGTCAACACAAACACAATGCTCAGGGCAAATCCCATGAACGAGGGGATGTACAAGGTCCACCTCCAGCCCAGGTAGCTCGAGGAGATAAACCCTCCAATGAACGGACCGGTAAACGGACCAACGAACACAGCCAGGGAGTACACGGTAATGGCGGGTCCCCGGGATCGATTATCGAAGAGGTCCGACAGCACCGCGGGGACGACGGATAGCTGGCTAGCACCGAACAGACCCGCGAAGAAGCGACAAATAATCACCGTCTGGATGTCCTTTGCGACGGCGGATGCGATGGTGAACACGGCCCCGCCGAAGATGCCCACGGTCAAGGGCAGTCGCCTGCCGATCAGTTCGGACGAAGGCGCCCAAATCATGGGCCCGGACGCAAATCCAAGCACGAAGAGCGTTGTACCCAGGATGCCGACTTCATTGCTGACTCCGAATTCGCCAGCCACGCCGTCAGTAGCGGGGGCAAAGACTGCACTAGCAAACGAAGCTATAAATGTGCCAAGGCAAACTATCGTGGAGTTGTATAACCTAACTCGAGAGTGGGAGAGATCAGCGGGTACCATCTCTGAGAAATGCGCGCAGTAACAAGCTGACTTACTTCGCCCGAAGGCTCCAATTGTACGGATGTGCCGGGTCGTCTGGACCATCGAAGCTCACGATGTAGTCCTCTTCATCCGGCAGAGACGGAGGGAAAGATTTTCCATGTCCCATTGATATTGAAAACAATGCTTCTGGATGTTTCTCCGACATATCAGACTGTATGGAGGGGAGTCGTCAGCCTACTGTGCATCACAGTGAGAGCACGCATCCTAGACCATACCGGGGCCTCGAGGTCGCTATGATCTGCAGCGCTTGTTTGCGAATCCATGTTGCAGGGACTGTCCAATTACGTGATGACGGTGGCAAATTCGTGGAGTCGGTTTCGAAATGACAATGCATTCTCAAGAGACTCGCTCTCTCTCGGCGCAGAATGTACGGGACGTATCATTCTGCTCATATATTCTCGCCTGCAGCTAAAAGTTTGGCTCTGCAGGGTCGTCATCGTGGACGGAACCGCTGAGTCAGCCGTTCCCGCAATACCCGCCCGGGACGATCCTTTTAGATTAAATGCAAATCGATTTTGGCCTGGTCACGGCTTGAATATTCTCAGGCAAGGGCTCGCTAGATCTCCCGAGAAGTCGGCGAAATTGCATTTCCCTCTCGATCTATATTGATTGGGAGACATGTCGCTCTGCTTTTTCATCCGGATCCCTATCTTATCTTGGCTGCTGATTTAAGTAGGCCAAATAGGACCTGACAATGACACCCCATGCCTGCGTCTTGGCATTGAAGTTTTTCGATCTGGACCCTCGCTGGGCTTCGTCGCAACCCATTTCGTGCGGGCCGATGCATGCAAGTTGAATGAACCCTTGCAGGGTAGTATGACTTGAGAGTCGGGTAAACCGAAGAACAGGGCGTGCGCCTCACACTAAGCAATGATACGTCGGGTTTCAAAGGGCTCCCTCGGTGGCTCCGGTGGGCCTATATCTCCTGCATGCTACAGACACTCATCTCTGCAACCCTGGCCCAGATGGGCTGGACGGTGGCGTATAGAGATTGCTGCCAAGTCGAACGTCCTGGAAATCCATTTCCTAGTCGCGTCCGGCCGCAGCCCTACAATTCCCCTAAGGAGCGAGAAGCCACATAATGGGTCATGCTTAATATAGATGCATACTGTGATCGACAGTCATTTAGATCTTGATGTGCCTTTATTGGGTTTTCTTTTACGTAAAGGACATCTTCTAGACCAGTAAGTCATCCTCGCTATAGTACTTTCCCCTCCACCCCTTGCAATTCAGATATGCGCAACTCCGGTGGCGTGTGCAGCTCACTTGCGTATGCTATACTCTCCAAGCGCAGGACGCTGTCGGGCAATGCCCTCATTCAGAGCTGAAGTCTCATGCCAAGATGATAGTTGATGGCATCAGCCAGGAGGACATCGTCGGTCTCAGCTAGCCAGTTTGAGGATTGTGAGGAGCTTCGTAATATAAATACACGGTCGATGTCGAGAGGATCGGTGTTCTCATCAGCAAAGAAAACCTTCATCGAAAAGACTCCAAGTCTCAGCTACAGGGCATTCCTCTCCTTTCTTTTGGTCCAATTGAGCCCCTGATCCGCAGTTTCAACCAAAACATCATCAATTCATCATGAGATACACCGTCCCTTCGACACCTTCGGCCACTCATGCCCACGCTGCCATCGTGGGCATGGGCCCCCGAGGCACCAGCGCATTGGAACGTCTCTGTGCATCAGCTAGCGAATTCCTGTCTCCTGGCATGCGCTTGACCGTCCACGTCGTAGATCCCTCGCCGCCAGGGGCCGGCCGGGTCTGGCGCACCGAGCAGTCGTCCGAGCTGCTGATGAACACCGTGACGTCGCAGGTCACCCTCTGGACTGACGACAGCGTTGTGTGCTCTGGTCCTATTCGCAACGGGCCCAGCCTGTACGAATGGGCCGCGCAAGAGAAGCTCGATCTAGGGCCGGACGAATACCCAACCCGCGCACAGTACGGCCACTACCTGCAATGGGTGTTTGGTGAAGTCGTTCGCAATGCGCCTCCCCAGGTCGAGATTGAAGTGCACGCTGCTCGCGCCGTCCAGCTCGACGATTCCGACGACAGCCGCCAGACGCTGCGACTGTCCAACGGCCGCACCCTTTCTGGTCTCTCCGCCGTCATCCTCTCTCAGGGCCACGTCCCCCTGGTCCACGACCCAAAACTCCAGCAACTCGCCGCCTATGCCTCCCAGCACAACCTCCGCTACATCACCCCGTCCAACCCGGCGGACGTCGACCTCTCGTCCATTCAGCCCGGCGAGCCTATCTTCCTGCGCGGCCTTGGCCTCAATTTCTTCGACTACATGGCTCTCCTGACCACCGGCCGCGGCGGCCGTTTTGTCCGTACCACTAATGGCTCCCGGTACCATCCCTCGGGTCGCGAGCCTCGCATCTACGCCGGCTCCCGGCGCGGCATCCCGTACCAGGCGCGCGGCGACAACGAGAAAGGCGCCTACGGGCGACACATGCCCCTTCTGTTCACGGACGAGGTGATCGAGGGGTTCCGGCGCCGCGCTGAATCCGAATCTGCGCATCACCACCCGCCCGACTTCTTAAAGGAGGTCTGGCCGCTGGTCTGCAAGGAGGTGGAAACGGTCTACTACGAAGCGCTCCTCCGACAACACAAGCTCGATGAGCGCGATTTCCGCGCACGCTTCCTAGTCACCAAACACCAGAGTCCCGAGGAGAGCCAGGTCCTCAGCGATTTCGGCATCGACGAGATCCACCGCTGGTCGTGGGACCGTCTCTCCCGCCCCTATGGCGAACAACGGTTCACGGCCGGCGTCTGGCGCGACTGGCTGCTCGAGTATCTGCGTGAAGATGCGCGCGAGGCGGCGCTCGGCAATCTCAACGGGCCCTTGAAGGCGGCGCTGGACGTGATGCGCGATCTGCGGAACGAGTTACGTCTTGTGGTCGATCACGCTGGGGTGTCAGGGTTCTCGCACCGCGATCATCTCGACCGCTGGTATACGCCGCTGAACGCGTACGTGTCGATTGGGCCGCCGCGGCAGCGCATCGAGCAGATGGTTGCGCTGATGGAGGCCGGCGTGCTGGATGTGCTTGGGCCACGGCCGACGGTGTCGAACCAGGACGGCGCCTGGGTGGTACATTCGCCTGAAGTGCCTGGGTTGAAGGCCCGTGTGACAACTCTTGTCGAGGCCAGGCTGCCGGAGCCGGATCTCCGACATACCGCGGACGAGCTGATGGCGCATCTCTTGCAGACGGGCCAGTGTCGCCCGTATACGGTAGATGGGTACGAGACCGGGGGACTGGCCGTGACAAAGAGCCCTTATCAGGTGGTGGATGCGCAGGGAAGAGCACATGCGAGACGCTTCGCGGTGGGTGTGCCGACGGAGGGTGTGCACTGGGTGACGGCAGCCGGGGCGAGGCCTGGCGTGAACTCGGTGACTCTCTGCGATACGGACGCGGTGGGAAGAGCGGCGCTGTCGGTGGCCGTGGCCGATGTGGGAGTGGTTGAGAGACCGGCAGTGAAGGGCAAGTTGCCGTTTGTGACTGTTTCGGAGGCTGCAGTTGATGTGATATGATATGTTTTGGTCGCAAGGCTTTTTTTCTTTATGTGATATATCTGGGGACATTATCTTCGTTTGGCAAATTGAGACACTTGTTTACTATGGAAATTTTACTTTTCGGTTGTTTTTATGGTACTGAAATTGCACCCAACTGCTTGTATAGTTCCTTCTTTAACAGAGCTTTTATAGCAATCTTGTATACCCCTTTTACATTGCTGAGTTTACCTTGGACTTTAACATTCTACTTGCTGAACTCGTCGATCTATCTCTTTAGTTAAATGACCTTATAAAAGAGACTTGGTATATACTTCTTGCGGGTACTGATCGTACCGGCATCTGAAGTAAATGACTATCGAGTCAAGGCATTAGCCTAACTCACTATAAACCCTACACATCTATGAACCACCTACAAAGCATAAAAAGGTAAAGGTAGAGCAGCTCAGTTGGTTCGACCCAATTCAAATGTTTTAAGTTTACAACAAAACCTACAACCATCTCCAACTTAACCCCCAACCGATTTCATCACAACTAAACAAAACAATACACATCCAACACCAAGACCACTATTCCCTTCGTTAACCCATTACCTCCGCCCTATCAGGTCTTACATACTCCCCATTCGCAATCATCTCGAGGATCGTCTTCTCGGTAACCATCATTGCCTCCACACCCGCCGGCGTCCCACAGTACACCATCGAATGGATGACGGCCTCTCTGATCTCCAGCTCCGATACCCCGTTGTTGATGGCTCCGCGCGTATGCAGTGCCAGTTCCAGCCACGCTTTCTGGGCAATGATGATCCCGATGGCTATTGGGGTTGTTTGTTAGTCTAGCTGTCGTGTGGACTACATGCTGAAATGGACGGGGAGCAACGCGTGGTTTTGTGTGGTCTTCTGTCTATATATGTGTGTGTGTTGAGGGAGGGAAAGGGGACTTACTTAACAAACTGCGTTGCTTGCGATCAAGCCCCTCTCGTTGCCATACATTGGCCCAGGCGTACTCGGTGATCAATTGCTGTCCCGGTCGCGTGAATGGCGACGCTTTGTCCCATGCTCGGTTGACATACTCGCTGCCTAGGACCTGGCGGCGGACTTCGAGGCCTTGCTCGAGGGGTGTTGAGGGAGTGTCGTTTGCTTCTAGTTTGGCCATGGTGGGTGGTGGTGGATGAATGGATTGGATTGGATTGATTATTTTCTTAGTGACCGGGGAGTTGGAAGATAGTAAAATGAAAAGGGGAAAGAGAGAAAGTATAAAGGAAACACTCTCCGCTGTCAGGAAGCACTATATCTGTCGAAGATGCAGTGGCAATTTATCCATTCACTTATTGCGTGCTGCGTGCGTCGATTCGTACCTATGTTCTACCTAAGCAGTCTACTACATAATCTATTTATGCTTTCTGCTACTGTACACTAAGGTATATGCAACTGCTGCAGGGACTCATTCTTCAGCGACGCCACTGCTAGTGCTGGTGCACTAGTTCCTTCATCCTTGGCCGTTCTATTTCCAGCCCTGACCTGTCCCGCACGAGAATGATATCATACTTCACTGGCGTCTGCAGGAGATCCACCGGATCGGATCCGGGTTAACCACCAAACTCTAAAGTCCTGAAGGGCGTCGGGCTGAGGAACTCGGCCCGCAATACCCGCTTCCTTCGCCCGCCCTGCCCGTTCCGATAACCCGCTCATAGTTCCGCTGTCACAACATAGTCTGTGCTTCTGTTGTTGTTGTTCCCCCCCTTTTCCCTGGTTCATGCCGAGGCAGAAATTGGAAGAAACAGGCCGAACCGCTGGATTCCGACCGTCGGTTATGGTTGAAATCGCCACTGTTCGTGCTAAGTTGCAGATCATATAGTAGATGCTAGATACTATGCAGTATACACCGTAGATACTTCCTTGCCGGGATCCCTGCCAGTTTTTTCTTTTCATGTGAAAATTTCTGGATCACATGTTCCCCTTGGAAAAATTTGCACGGACATATCATGAAAGACAGTCAGTATTGCTCAATCCCACAGTCAGGCAAGGGATCAGATCACATGATCTGACCACGTGACCCACAACGTCTAGTGCCACGGCTGCCACAGGAAAGCTTCATCTGTTCTACACACATCCAATTGCAAGTTGAACCTCTATGTACAGTCCAGTCAAGCATGATGGTCCTTACATGGGATAACTTACTGGTCACGACCTGAGTACTCAATTGGTACTATTCAAAGCTACAGAATAGAAAACCTGGGTAGGTACAGTCCAGTTGTTTAGGGGAATCTGGTTTGTTTACCTACCTATCTACCTAGGACCTACTGTACATGAGTAGGTAGGCTGGTATGTATGTACATATGTGTATAAGGTGATACGATACGGAATACATACTTTTGCCTGAGCACATCGACCACGCCATCCTAATCTTTCAATCTAACTCTGTTCCCTACCCCTGACCTTCTTCTCTCCTGACGAACAAACAAACAAACAAACCACACCTAAAGGTGCCCGCTCAGTCGCCCTTGGAATCAACCCATTCCACTCATCAGACATGTACATACATACTACCTATACATTTACAGGCCCCCTACTCCATCCTACCTAGGTAGACATCCTACTAGGTACATACATCCATTCCCAGCCCGATGACGAACAAATTCAAAAGCCAAAGTTGCAGGATATCCGACAACTTCAGTGCGTGTCTATCTATATTCACGCACGCCACTCTCTGTCTGGAAATCAATGAGAACCTGAGAGCTAATCTGAGGGCCTGGGAATTACGCGTTCTTATTTTATCTTGCTGTTTCGTTCCTTTTGGGGTTGATTGGTTGGTTGGTTGGGATATGGGGGTTTCTTTCTGTGGTTTTAAGGGACATAGTCTTCATAGTGATGGGGAGGTAGACTTGGGTGGATATAGGAAGTAAATTGAATTGGTTTTATTTCATTGTGATCTGATTCATGATTCGTGAAGTAGACACCGTAGAGGGGATAAGAAAGATGATTTAAGAAGAGGGGAGTGGTGAGAAAAAGATCTTAAAGAACAAATAGAAACCGTATATACAGCACAGCACAACACATCCATGAAGAAAACCAACCACATATTATGATTCATCGCTGACTCGCTTCATATTCACAGAAAGAAAGAAAGAAAGAAAGAAAACAAGGTAATTCTGGGAATAGGGAATAGATACATAGAAGAGTTGAGAACTTCACTGCAAGAACTTGTGCAAAGCACTGCCGATATTCTTCAGATCTAGCAGGAACGTATCATGTCCGAACATCGACACGTCCTCGCCCAGTTCCACATGCTGAACGGTCTGGTTCCCCCCGGCGCGCAGGGTCTGCGCGATCTCGCGCTGCTGCCACGCAGGGAAGAGGATGTCGCTGGCAACGCCCATGACCAGAACGGGATGGTTCTTCAGGGGCGCGAGTCCCGCGACGAGGTCCTGCGGTGGGGCGTCCGAGGCTGCGTCGCCTCCGGCCACGGACTGGTCCATGGCGGCCGTGGACGCCGTCACGGAGGGCTGCTCCTCGTACGGCTTCTCCGGCAGGGTGAGGCTGCAGGCGATGTCGCTCTGGTTCAGGTCCTTGCCGCCCTGGGCGATCTTGGTCTCGTATTCGGTGCGACGGGTCTTGGTCTCCTGCTGGTGGGCGTGGCCGAGATCGAACAGGTCCATGGCCTTGGAGACGTAGAGGAGACTGTTGGGGTCGTATTCCAGGCAGAATTTCTCCCCCGCGTGGTCGAGATAGGTCTCGATGAGGAAGTCGGCGCACAGGGCCGGCTGCTTGCTCGGGTCGGCGCGCTTGCGACCAAACCGCATCTCCCACTCCGGTCCGCTGCGGTAGGTCACCGTGGCGATTTCTCGGGCCAGCTTCATGCCCGAATGCGGCGGGATGGAGTCGTAGTAGAACCCGCGCGCCCATTTGGGGTCCATCATCAACACCTGGCGCTGGGTGTGGCGCATAGCGATGCTGTAGGGGTGGCTGCGCGCACATCCGCTGATACTGACGATCTTCTCGATCCGCTCGGGGAAGAGGACGCCCGCCGCCAGACTCTGCATGCCGCCCATACTCGAGCCCACGGAGGCATACAGCTTCCGGATACCCAGTGAGTCCAGCAGACGGAACTGAGCCCGCACCATGTCGTCAATCGTCAGGATGGGGAACCGCGTGGCGTATCGCTTGCCGTCGGAGGGGTCAAACGACGACGGTCCCGTACTGCCGTAGCATCCTCCGATCACATTGGTGCAGATGACAAAGTACTTGTTTGTGTCGATGGGCTTGTCCGGCCCGATGAACTTCTCCCACCAGCCGGGTTTCGGGTTCGCCTCGGTGCTGTGCGCATGGCTCGACGCCGACAGACCGGTGTGCAGCAGGATGGCATTGCTTTTGTCCGCGTTCAACTGGCCCCACGTTTCGTACGCAACGTCGAATTCCGGCAGCACGCCGCCCCAGTCGAGCAGCAGCGGGTCCTGGCAGCGGTATTGTTCGTGGTGGCCGGTGGTGTAGGAGGGTTCGGGGCCGGACTCGAGCGATCGGGCGGAGAGGAGCGCGGACTTTGCTTCTTGGGCATCGAGACAAGGGAAGGAGAGGGCCGGGTTGGAGGGGTCTTTCGAGGAGGGTTTCTGAGCGGCGGCGGCCTGCGCGTTGCGGGCAGGGATGCTGGACAACGTCCTGCGGCCTGCGGAGGTCGGGAATCGATTCCTGCCGGCGAAGCTGCAGATGTTCTCGGTTTGTTTAAAGAGTCCTACAGCGCGCAAGCTGCGGGGAGCTGAGCGTGCTACACCCTGCATAGGACCCATGACTGACTGGCAGGCTGGGACTGATCAATCGCTGAGCAGTCAGGAAAATGAGGAAGTTGGAGCAGCGACGGAAAAGTTGACGGAGAGAGCTTCGTTGACTCTAGAAATGGCAGACAGTCATCGTTGCCCGATTTCGCAGGCGGAGAAGTGGCCTGAGGCAGCACCCGCCGGAAAGCGCATGGCGTCATCTGTGGGAACCGTGATTGGTGGATGCCCTACTATATGATTATCTAATCACCTCGCTACGGTGCAACGCAGTCGATTCTTCTGTCTTCCATTGACACGATCTGCAGGATATGATGAATAATATGGAACATGGAGTGTGGCACTCATGTAAAAGCAAGTAGCCGCGTAAGACAGCCTCCGTCTGACTCGGCCCTCACAACGGCCTAAGTATGATGGGCGCGTCCGCCGTGATGTTGAGTCCTGCGACATACATGCATCGGCGATTATCCTCACCGTTGGCATGAAAGACCATTCTTGTCCCGTCTACGGAAACGGTGGCACCCCCAGGGGATTCGAGGCCAAAGTCGCCCTTCTTCAGCAGCGCCCGGGAAGCCCTCGTATATGGTCCTTTTAGCGACGTCGAATGGGCATATTTGATGTCGTACAGGGGCGACGTGAAGCAGTGGGAGGAGAAAAAGAGATAATAGACCCCCTCTTCCGTCCGGATGAGATTCGGGGCCTCTACCAGCGGCCCGTCACTCTTTTCATTCGTGAGGACTTGGACGGGCTCGCCGATGGCCGTGACGCCGTCGTCTTCCAGTTCCTGCAGCATGATTGGGACCGGTACTATGGGCTTGATACCGTTGTTGCAGTCTCCGCCATGCCCGATACTGTTCCCGTCGACTTTGTAGACGATGTAGAGCTTTCCGTCCTCATCGCGAAATGGGGATGGGTCAATGGCGCCGCCCCGGTCGGGCGTGCAGACCAGAGGTTCCTGGCGGGGTTTATATGGTCCCCGAGGATCGTTGCCCTCCAACACGGCAGCTCCTACGCAGTGATGGCGTCGCCAGTCTTTGAGTTCGCCGGAGTAATAGAGCACGTATTTCCCGTCGTCCTACCAGCTCGGTCAATCGTCTGTACTACCTCGCTTGCTGTCGACGTTTGCTTACCCGTTGAATCACGTCTGGGGCCCAATGATTGACGCTGGATTCCCAGCTCCCGATCGTGGGCAGCGCATCGTACGCTTCGACGCGCGTCCAGTCCTTGAAGTTGGTGGAAGTGGCCAGGGGGACGTGCGGGACCTGCGTGTCGTTGATTGCTGCATTGGTGCCATAGGCGAACCAGGTCCCGTTGACATGGAAAAGACCGGGGTCGGGAAAATTGTCGACGACCAGAAGAGGACGGTTGGCCATATCGGCGTAGCTGGGGTCATCGGATGTTCGTCCTGTCAGCAGCACGACGGGGACGGTGATGACGACGACGATGATCGCAAGTCCCAGTAGGCTGGCGACTAGAATCCACGTGCGCTTTCTCGTCCATGTACTGGAGAGCTTCTGAGTGAGTGACAGCCCCGGTTTGGAGGTTAAGGACGGCTTTGAGACTCCATTTGCCTTGTCGTTGGCGTTGGAGGAGGCCGTCGAAGGGGTCTCATTGCTTGGAGACGGGGGAACATTGGGTTCCATCCTCTCTTCGACGAGGTTCGCGCTACCAGCATTTGTCGCCGCAATTGGAACAGCTGCTACTTAAAGCATTTTTTTTTATGGTAAAAAAAAGAAAAGAAAAGAAAAGAAGAGATAAGAAAACTAAAAATAACGGGAAGCAAAGATAGACAAAGCGCGGGCATGGGGCCCGGCGCGGGCTAAAGTTAAGGCTTAAGCATAACGATAGCGGCCGAGCAGTCAGCACGCAATGTCTAGACTCTCGAAGTGGTCGGTGGTGACGATCGGTGGTGACCGTAAATCTCGAGTGGATCACTAGAGCTTTTTACTCTCCGTCGTATCTCCATCGTGGTTCAAGGCTGAAGGACTGTAGTTATCGGTCTCGTGGGTTGTCTTGGCTGTCTGATTGCGGTCACTGCAAGCCTCTCCGTGATAAGGAATGTTCAAGATTAGAACGAGAACGACCGTAGCGTCATCCAAGTCGATGATTAGGACTTGATCAAATCCCGGTTGTGAATCCACAGCCCTGGTGTTGAAAGGCCGGACGTTCCATCCGGCCTCACGATGCTGCTGAACGGGAGGGAGGTCGTATCCCGCTGGACGTTCATCCACGGACGCTGGTGTGCCACAAGGGGGACGAAGGTACAGAATCCCGGTGCTTTGAACCTGGAGGACATCACAGGTGCACCGTTGCAGCGACGGTGGAGCCAACCAGCGACGGCCGAGGTCCACGTGTTTCAGGTGTGCCTGTGCCTGTGGCTGTTGGCGATGAAGATTGATTCATTCATTAATCTACGCGAGACGATGAGACTGGCCGACCAGGCAGGCTGCACCCTGTCAGGCCAAGGCCGAGCTGCAGGGATATGACGCGGCGTTACCGGGTTAGAGACCAGGGGCATCACATCTTCACATCGCCCAGGACTGATTCCAGACCTGAATCATGCAAAACAGGGCAGTCCCGACCGTGGATGGGCCCCGTCCAGACTCCCGACTGCTGAAACCGGCGGGCAAAGGCATCACGAGCAGCACCGAAGAAGCTGGAGCATCCGGTGGGGACGGCGATACAACGTGACGGGCGGAACGTGTCCATTTCTCTGTAGAAGGTAGAGTGTAGAGTGTAGAGTGTAGAGTCAATGTAGATCCAAGGAATCGTGATGATCCCCCCCCCTTGCGGAGATGGACCCGATGGCCTTTCATTTGGATTAGACGCACTTCTGCACCGAGAGTTAATCTCCGCTCTTTATAAGGCCCGACCGTTCCTCCCTCATTCTGTTCTTCAGATTCCATTGTGCTGTACAGTGTGCATAAGCCTAAAAGTTGTCGTCATCGCCGTTCCGTCCGCGCGGACTTGTGGACGCCACGCCGACTTGGCTCCACCGTCACATTTTCTCATCGCTTCACGTTTTTCGCGATCTCCGTTTCTCTGCTCCGATTCGACTCGCCGGCCTCAAGATTCACGCCGCGCGCTGTGTTGATCGCTCGATTATTCCAGGCAGCGAGATTCTTGTTCTTTCACCCCGGTCAATTCCCCTGGTCCTCGTGTCGGCAGATTCCGAGGATTTCTGAAACTCCTCCAATCCACCGTTTCCATAATTTCCACCAGACTCCGGCACGGGCAGACATGTTTGGATCGTAGCTGCTTCTGCGGTGAAACGGAACGGTCGACTGTCAAGACTCAACAGTCAATAGTCAATAGTCAATAGTCAATAGTCAATCTTGATCGTCGGCGGATCTGGCGGAAAAGCTCGTGGCTTACTCCCCTCAACTGCCTGTCGATCCAAAGCCCACCCTCCTCCGGCTTTTCTCTCGTCGTCTTCTCGCCTCCCCTTCACCAACGATGCTCACCTTCCGCAAAGCCTTCGTCGCGGCCGCCCTCCTGGTCACTTTCATTGTCCTCATCCGATCGTCGCATTCCTCTGCCTCCCCCGCGCCGTCTCCTATCCCCGTCTCCGAAGAGCTCGACCGCGACGAGAGTCATGCAACCGAAGAGCGGCCCCCAATTCAGAAAACGGAACGCGTCCAGCAACAGCCCCTCGAGCCGCCGCCCAGCGCTCCCTTGCGCGACCGGTTGCGATACCAATTCCCCTACGACCTAGACGGCAAGTTTCCCGCCTACATCTGGCAGACTTGGAAATATACCCCGGGTTCGCTGTGGTTCACCCCGGAGCTGCGCGATGCCGAAGCCAGCTGGACCGAGCTGCACCCGAATTTCGTGCACGAGGTCATCCCGGACGACACGCAGCGCCATCTGATCAAGTACCTCTACGGCTCGGTACCCGACGTGTTTGAGGCCTACGACTCGCTACCGCTGCCCGTCCTCAAGGCCGATTTCTTCCGCTATCTGATCCTGCTGGCGCGTGGCGGCATCTACAGCGACATTGATACCACGGCCCTGAAGCCAGCGCTGGATTGGTTGCCGGATGAGTTTGACCTGTCGACCGTCGGCTTTGTCGTCGGCATCGAAGCCGACCCGGATCGCCCGGACTGGCACGATTGGTACTCGCGCCGCATCCAGTTCTGCCAGTGGACTATCCAGGCCAAACCGGGCCACCCCATTCTGCGCGACATCGTGGCCTACATCACCGAGGAAGCCCTGCGCATGAAGAAGAAGGGTATTCTGAAGACGGGCAAGATGGACAAGACCATCGTCGAGTTCACCGGACCGGCCGCCTGGACGGACGCCGTCTTCCGCTACTTCAACAATCCAGACTATTTCAATATCGAGCCGGGGTCGGACCTTAACGTCACCTACGACGATTTCACCTACCAGGAGGGGTATAAGAAAGTTGGCGACGTGGTGGTATTGCCCATCACCAGCTTCAGCCCTGGTGTGCAGCAAATGGGAGCTCAGGATATTGACGATCCGATGGCGTTCGTCAAGCATGACTTTGGAGGTAAGTTCTTCAGTCCTCATGGTCTTGGTGTCCAAAATGCTAATAATTTCTTTCTCATCAGGAACCTGGAAATCCGACCCTTCTCTATAATGGGTATTGTAAAAAGGGGCTTTTATATAATACAGTCTTATGACAGACAACTATTCCACCCCAGGCCGACAGGGCGGCTTGTCTCGGACAAGCGGGGGAGAAGCCATAATATCATCGAGGCTCTCTCCTCCTTCGCAGGATCTAAATCCGATCCCAGCGAACGGCTTCGGATTCGGCTTCGACATCTAGTCCGGCTTTTTTCCATCCGAGTTTTGCCCTAAAAAGACCGAACACTACCTCTTTATCTACGCATCTCACATGAGACGATGAGCCATGTCCCACTCATGCCGCGCATGAATTGCCCACTCTATGCCTTTATCCTCACATCTGCACCACACGGAAGGAAGCGGGAACGGAAAAAGAAAGAAAAGAACAGCACTTCTCATAGTGCCGGTAATATCACCTACCTACTCACCTGATACCTATCCTCAATCAATCTTAAATCTTTCAGACCGCATCGATTTCTTCTACCGAATTGTACAACATCATTTCCTCCTCCCCCTTCGCAGGTCTTGGTCTTGGTCTATGCCTGTGTCCGTTCTATAATCATTTTCTGTTTTCACGATCCTCTTCCATCTCCACCTTCACGCTGCTTCTTGTCTCTTGGACGAGGATTATTTTTCTGCTTTCTCGACTTTCTTGTTCCTTGGACCTTATTTGATTCCCATTAGATACTTACCTTACTTACTTTACTTACTTGATGTAGATGAGTTATGTTGTGTTGTATAGATTTTTCAATTCACCGTTGATTCTATTATTCATTCATTATTGTAGGAATTGTCTAGCTTCTCTACGGTACCTACCTCCGTAGAGTACTATACATACACACACATGCATATTTCCTACGTAGCCGGTAATCAACCCGTCATAGGAAAATTGTATTCTGATCATGGAAGGTCCGGGCAATTCCATGTGATGAGATGTCTCGAGTTTCATAGTCATACGGGAGCTACGTATACACCAATAGGACCATTCGGGTTTTCACTGTTGCGGAAGTCAAGTTATAAGAACGACAGAGAGAAAAAAGAAAACTAAAAAAAGGGGGGGGGGGGGGGGAAAGAGGTCACCAGTTTTCAGGATCATTGTGTATGACCTGGATGTTCAATCGGTTTCGGTGTATGGATGTGCCGTACCAGGGTTGGGTTATGAATTGCTATATCAAGGTTTCTTTCTTTTTCTTTCTCTGATTCTGACATCACCTCGAACTTTTGTTTGAGACCTGCTGCAAAGAAAATAGATAAATAATCGGTTTGTTGTACATGATTGGGAGTATAGATTGGAGGGACAGGGCAGTCTGTAAATAAGAAGGGGAAATAATACAGAGTAAGAGATCTCATAAATTCATGTAGATATATACCCACTGTCATCATAAGATGGAGGAAAAATGAAGAGAAGCAAAAAGACACGCTAATAAAATCAGTTCTGAGATATGAATCCATCAGGTTGCCTGCATGTAATGGAGCAAAGCAAATTTTCACTTTCGTTGTCGTAACTTCGTCGTCACGTTTGATGCTTGGTTGTTGTACCCAAGAATCCCCGTCATTGAAAACCAACAAGGCATCAGTAGACACGACTCCATTAAACACCCAAGGTTTTTCTCGCTGGCAAATTTGAAATTTGAAAGATTGAAAAAAGCAGATGACAGATGGCAGGGGATTTAAAGGTGGCAAGATCGGCGGCAACGATTTTCAAGCACATTAAATTTATATATCAGACAATTGGGTGAGCAGGACTGGTATGCAAAAGTCTCCAATGTGGAACAAAATGGATAAACGGCCCTCGAGGCTTGGATGTTGAATGTCAAATTAAGCTGTCGGGCAGAGACAGGCATGAATTGAGCGGCCCTCGGTTTGTAGACGATATCCAGCCGCCAATCACCGAGTTTCAGAAAGAATTATCCTGCACGGAGTTCAGAGGCTCCTGTTCAAAGGTCTACTCCGGAGCCCTGTGAGCCGTCCGAGGGGTGGATAAGAGGTCATCGAAGTTTAATCCAGGACTCGGACCGGACATCAAAAATCGCTGAACAAAACTTCGTACTTTTTCCTCAAGTCGTCGGTGTAGACTGCCGTTGCCTTGGAATCTGGGTCGGGGTACTCCTCGAAGTTTCCTGTGTCGGCCGGATGGTCGACTCTCGGAATTATGGGTCCCTTGATGCGACGATAGAACAGATCATCCCAGTTGATGTCCTCGAAGAAGGGATGGGCTTTGACCCGAGCAGATCCGCCGGATATGTATCCGAGTCGTTCCGTCGGATTCGTCTTGCAGAGTAACGAGATGATGTTCTGGGCTGCCGGCGACATGCCTTGGGGAAAGCGCAGTCGGCCTTCGACTATCTGTTCGTAGATCCGCATTGGATTTTGGTCCCAGAAAGGAGGTTGCCCGACCAGGAACTCATAGATCAGGATGCCTAATGCCCACCAATCCACCGCGAGCCCGTGTCCACTATTGTGAATAACCTCGGGGGCGAGGTATTCTGGCGTGCCACATAGTGTATACGTTTCGCGATCGCATACTTGTTTAGCAAATCCGAAGTCGACCAGTCTGATATGTCCATCGGCGTCCAGGAGGATATTCTCGGGTTTCAAGTCACGGTAGACGATTCCTTCGACGTCGTGGAGGAACTCGATCGTTAGGGCGATCTCGGCCGCGTAGAATTTGGAGGTGTTCTCGTTGAATCGTCGCGCACGTCGTAGGTAGCTAAATATTTCGCCTCCGGGGCAGTAATCAAGCTAGGGTGAGGAATGTCAGCAACGGTGGCACAAAGGATTCGTGTCGACGGGAGCAGATCCAGGAGACGGCAAATTGCATCGTGCAGGACCAAAAGGCACATACCAGCATATACAGGCTTTGGTCGTCCGAGAACGTTGCTATTAGCGTTGTGACAAAGGGATGGCCAGAAACCGCCGCGAGCGTCTTCCGCTCGTTGCGCACATGCTCGACCTGCTTCAACTTGATCACTGGGCCGGATGTCAGCCTTGTCTGGCAGGAAAAGGGTGTTGAGCCATGCTTACCATCCGCCTTGCGTAGGATCTTGAGCGCGTAGACTTTGTCCCTCCGCTGCACTTCATCCTTCATTCTCACCAGCCATACCCGAGCGAAAGTGCCT